GAGTGGCATTTTATTATTTGTTCTTCAACCTGGTTGACCTTTTCTCAAACCCTGTATATAGGAAAAAATATAGCCACATAGGTGCCCTCAAACCCGTAGCTGGTATATGCCAACGTTTATTAGTGAATGGCGTGATAGTTTCGCTGCGCTGGTGATAGTACAAGCCTGGGGCAATTCGACGGCTCTCTGACCTCGTTAACCGTTAATGACTTTCGCTAGCGTCTCACCTTTACTTTCGTAAATCGTTGTGGACAATTTGCAGCAATTCTAGGTTCTCTCTGTTCGTCATGGCTCTGCAACACCCAACCTCGCCTTTCTACGGCAAGTAAATGCGTAACTAATCTTACCTTCTGCGGTATTCTTAATTACCCTGAGTGATACCACTGTACGTATCTAGATATGAATTGGCATTGTACGACGCAGTTGAGAAACTCACAAGGCGGGCGATAGTGCTGGTGGGGTGGGTGGGTGAAGAAAGTATCATAAAACATACGGATTAAAAACTGTCATTTCCAGTTTAATTACGACAACTGAAAACACTAAAAACTAGCCTTGTATCTCCTTTACAAGGTGGTACATAAACACTGTCGAAAAATGAAATCTCAGTTTCATCGTCTGACAATAAAGGTAAAGTAATGTTAATAGCCCTAGGGTATATTCATGGTAAAGGGTTTATATAATAATCAACAGATCATGCGCAGATTCACCAATCAGCAATCACAGGCATAAACGTGCACTTACGGTTTCATGTTCATTTCTTACGGCAGTGATACGTGGCTTTCGTCTCTGCGCTCACACGCGACGAATGTAGATGTATACACTCTACGTGGTAGATGTATACGGACATAGATCTCGGATTGTATACCGACATACCGAGTATACATAAAAACAACAGTCATATTAGAAAACGAATACATATATGACAAACAACAACACTAATTAAAATGACGTCTATTAGAAACAAACCTCCCTTAGAGGAAAACGTATTTGATGTACTGTACGTACGTTAGAACGTTTGTTAAAGGTAGGAATATAACAAATATTCTTTTAATCTATATTAGACATACATTAAACACATATATCATACACAAACGTTTCTGTCTATTAAATGTTACTTTACCAAGCTTCTGTTAGCACGGCACCAGTTGTAATGAAGTAGTTTCGCTCATATACGTGTACTCTCGTGTGTGAGGCTCGTGACCGTATAGTGTCTGCCCAGGTTCTGCTATGGCGCGGGCACCCTTGTGAGGTACCCCGAGGTTTAGCGCAAATAATAGACAGACACGAAACTATAACGTACAACCAAATGTCTATTTAATTCTTACACAATCTTACAGAGACCAGTTATTAGTTACATACGTAATGCAATATCTCAAAAGAGTTTACACACGCAAATACAAGTACCAGTCTTATACGTTTAGACGCATACTGTACACGAATACGGTAAGATCTAAACTACGAAACATATACAAGACTAGAGCACTCGGAGAGCACCTCCGCCAAGGCAGCTGAATTCTCTCAATGTGGAATTTTTTATTAATTAGTTAATTAATTAAGTGGAAAAATTAATTAATTAATTAATTAATTAATTGGATCCGGATTAGTGCGAGCGTGCAGGTGGGGGAGGACTGTGGTAGCCCCTTAGCCTGTGGTTGCGTGTTTGTAAGTCTACAGCCAGCGCACCTAGCGGAAGTGAACTGAAACGTGCATGTTAACAAACCCACAAACCCACAAACCAACACTCAAACACACGCCGGTGAAAACATAACCCCCGCCAAGCCCCCGGCGGAGGTAAAAACATGCCAGACATGCGCTGACCAAGCGCTGTCTAACCATACTCACAGATCGAGAGACCGGGTGGTTCTCCCCTTTCTATCCCAAAGCCCTCTGTATTTATTCTCTTTTTCTATATCAATTAGCCTCCTATGTGACGTGCGTATGGCTGTAGCCACGCCCGTTGACCGTACCGGCCACCGAGCGCTCTCGCTATTTTCCACAGATAGGGAGATTGATGTTTTGTCTTACAGGGCGGCCTACGTGCCTGAGCGTACCCGTACTGCCGAGAAATGACTTTCTTACGATGTCAATCTGTGTGCCAGCCTACCTTGTATTTTGCTAATCTGCATTCTTAAGTAGGCCGTTTGCTTTCCTTGCTGCCGTCACTAGGACGCGCGTGGTTTACACGTGATATTTATTTACACGTGGTATTTCTTTATAACGAATTCCGCTTCACTACACAATTCATTCATAATAACCTCAGGCTGCTACAAGAAGCAGTGCAAAATCAGCAACTCGTCGGAATAAATTATAATCTTAAGATTTTCTGTAGGAACGCATCTTCAATTATATAACGGCAGTCAATAATAAAATGTGATTAATATTACGGATTTTCGCGTCACAGACGTCTCTGGAATATATACATATATGTATATATGTATATATGTATGTATATGTATATATATATATTATATATATATATATATATATATATATATACAAGCGTCGAGCACGGATAAACGGTAGGAAAATATTTATACTGAGACGACAGCACAAAGAACGTTCGCACCATTATGCCTTTACTGCATTCAAGTGCTCTTTGCTTTCTATCATTGATTTTGCCGCGTGAAACGAAGCAATTTATTCTGGAAATGGCTTCTACGCGTTTGTAGTTAAACCTACTACGCGTTCAATCTTGGCAGGAAGGGAACTAAGTAGACGCACATTGTGCGTTTTACCGCAGGGGCTTTCGTCTCTTTTCATCTCCACTGAGACAAACCTCGAGGATGGTTGCGTTAAGACGTGGCGCGTCATAACAAATAGGCCTACAGTCGTTCGTCGCGCTGAGTGTGTCTGCACGTGTGGCCATGATTCTATACATACGCACGGCTTGAAGTTGAATCGCCGTAAGACTGGTAGGTAAAAAAGCTGGACAACATAGGACCTAATAAAGAGTACCGTGTACGGGTATGTGCAGATTTGCACACGATTTCGATTCCACAAATTTAATGATATATATATATATATATATAATGACATAATATACATGACATAGAGTGCTGATATCGAATTTCCTCATTTTCCCTGCAGTGTTTCTGGCGACATGTTTTTCTATTTATTTAGCTATGGATAGACAAGATGTGAGAGTTTCTATCTATTGCGTAGGCATTTCCTATAGCATGTCCGAATTCTTTGCGTTCACATAGAGCTATAAACACTAAACGCGCACTCACTGCAGGAAATCGCATGAAAGATTCTATCTTGCACTGGAATTTACTTCCTGGAGAACATCTGCAGACATATGGCGCACTTCGTTAGCTGTAAGCGGGTGCGGTATGCAAAATTTAAAACTAACAAAGAAAGTGCGTCTAAATTCGACCGACTGTTTGTGTGCTAAAGGGAGGTTGTGCGTTGCATCGAGTGTCTCGAGTCTCCGTCGCATTGACGTCGAATAAGAACACCGCCGTCAATCGTTTTTTGTAAAATGCTAAAATAAGATCATATAATAGAAAACATGTTCATTCATTTATTCGCAACGAAAACACTGTTGCGAATATCATCCGACCTCAAAGACCTTCGTAATATATATATATTGACCTTCGATGCATTCTGAAAATTGCCCCCACGCCCATATGAAAAAAAAACGATCACATGAACTACGTATGTGTTAGCTTGCACCTTAGGGCAAAGATTCGTACACAAATGATAGTCAACACTAAATTGCATGCCGATTGTCTACTGTGATATGTCTGTCACTTATAATAATTGCATGTAAAAGTTTTCACATGCCAAGTCTGTGCTCAAGCAGCGACACGGTTTTGGATTAACAATAGAAATAATATACTAGTTAGACTATATCTCTATATATTTCTATAGGATTGATCGAAATCATTTCCGAGTTGAGTATATATATACTTTACGTGAGATTTCTCATGTAGTGAGACAGCGTCTGCACAGAAAGCAATTAAGTTATTTCTCAAAAGTATATTCTTTCATCGCTTGGATATAATAACAACCAACCATCAACAAATCTGGTACGTATTCGCGGTGCTGTAGAGCAGAACGATATAGCACGCGATGATAAAAGCTTTCATGTAGAAATTAACGATCAGTGACAGGATTTAATATTTGATGGCATTTACAGAACTCGTTACGATCATTCAAGTGTAGCTCACCCTAAATAAGTTATTTACAAATAAAAAATACGACTGCAATCAGGGGGTAAATAATGTCATTATTTACTCCTGCTGCAATGCATAAAAATAAAACTAACAATCTACAAATTGTTTGTTCCCCTCTCATGATTAAATTATCATGCAACAAGTGACAATGTATGTACGGGTTTATCTAGATAATGTACGATGGCAAAAATAGTTTTTTCGATCTCAACGCCGAGTTTTGTTGTGGCTATAGTGGGCTCGCAAAAACGTAGCCGTATTTTATCTTGTCTCTCGCGAAACCATAAGAGTGTAATAAACGCATGCATGCTAGCCTTTTTCACATCATGCCTGCCGGAGTCTCCGTAAAGTTCCAGTTCCGTTAAATCTCAGCGGCTCCAGTTACTACGCTCAAATAAATGAATGTACAGTCGTGTAACTTATTAATATTAGTACTTACGCCTGCGTCGGCGAACCTTTTCTTCAGAACAGGTTATCCAACAAGGATTACTGCCGCTACGGTGCGTCTGCCGCCAACACGGGCACAGTCTTCAATAACTTTCAAATACTTTCAAATACTTGGCAATCAGCCTCTCTTCTTTCCTCTCTCTCTCTCTCTCTCTGCGCGCATCTTTCTGTCTGTCTGTCTGACTGTCCGTCCGTCCGTCCGTCCGTGTTCGTGCCTGACCTTGTGCTTGTCTGTTATGTCTGTTTCCCCTCCCCCCTCTCTCTCTCTCCTCTCTCTCTCTCTCCTCTACTCTCTCTCTCTCTCTCTCTCTCTCTCCCCCTTACCAGCTCCTTTTCTCCGAGTATGTGCTCAGTTCTGTAACAACAGAAACTATATACCTAATGGACGGAAGGCTGGATGTTTCTGCTGCGTCACTCCGTCGTACAGCTGTGTGCTCTCCTTGCCGATTTATATGAGCTGATATTCATCATCTGACAGCTAGTTCCTTCATGCTGAACAGCTCCTGTATTTGTTGTAACATACCACACACGTTGTGCGAGCGCGTGCCCTCCTCATCATAAGAACTCAGTATGGATCACGGCACACACATAATTCGACGAGACATTTCCCAACTCATATTTTACCATCTCTTTACACGTATCGCTTACGCGTGCGATGTAATGCCACTTCTGCTGAAGCACAGCGACTGAATGATTTTAAATACGATATCCGTGAGTGCGCGGGCAGTTGCGCGGTGTCAGGGGGGCTCGCGATGCTATCAGCTGCTATTCCTCGCAACCACGCGCGCAGCAACTAAACGGAAATGCATTTCGGTTGAGAATCTCACACCTCTAGGCTTTGTAACACACGGCAGGCTTTCCGTGAGAACTTCTGCTGGCCATGTGTAGATACTAGCACTTATTAATTTCATAGGGCACGCGCGCCGTTAACGGCTTTTATGTTGCTTATCGGCAACTCGCATGCGCGGAATGGCGTTTTATAGATGATAAATATGTGCTCTATTATTTACGTTCGTGGTGATAGGCATATTTATTACAGACAATTTACACGGGTACGCAGTATGTTAGTAAACATAGAGCTATCCGATACGACCCGCATTTGCAAGAGCGTCTACCTCTTCTTGCATCTGTTTAAACTATTCTTGAGAGCAGCAAGCGTGGGTTGCTGTAATAGTACTCTCTCAGCAATTAATGAGCCGGGAGTTAATTATGGCAGGCCCGTAGCCAGGGGGGGGGGGTTCGGGGGGTTTCGCACGAACACCCCCTCGAGCAATTTTTTTTTTTTTACCTCAGGTATGCATCAGATCGCTCCATTTTAGTGTAATAATTGCAAAATCTCCATCGTGCACACATACTCCCACACCCTCTTTCCCCCGCTCGGTCGGTTCGCGCCCTCACAAATTGCCAAAATTTAAAAACGAACCCCACCCCCCAATATAAAGCTGGCAACGGGCCTGATTAGGGGCTGTAGCAATATAAAGTAAAGTTCCTATTATATATTCACAGACGATTACACGGGGTTTATAAGATTCGTATATATAGAGAAGACCACCAATCGCAATCACAATGAAGACGGCATTGCACGTCACCTTTACCGTATATGACCATTCCTAATTCACTATGTAAGCTCAAAACGAAAAGATGCCATACATGTGGATTGCCTGATGCGAGATGCAATCAATTATGGATATTCCACATATATAAAATATATGGACAATTGCACAAGTGTGTATAAAGTAATGTAAGTAGGTGTGGAATTATGAAATTGCAAGTGATTGCTATAATGTGCTATAAGTGATTATCTATAATGTCACAAGATCCGAGTGCATATAAGGATGTTTACTACAGGATAAGTTTTTAATAATGTTGTAGTTTCCATTATTGATCTAATTGCAGTTAGCAGTTAGCACACTATATAAACAGGCAACTTTGGAAAAACACATGTTTTCATATCAATGCTACCACTATTTTTATTAGGTCAGCACTTATAAACCCATTAATTTTACTGCATTTAGGTGGCGCTGAGCACTGTTTTAGCTTTCCAGTGTGCAGATAGCAGTGTACATCTGTATGGGTGACAAAATACGTGAATCACTTCAATTTGCGGTGTCTACTACAGAGCTTTAAGGTTGTGAACGACAGAATTAACGTTTAACTGGTTGTATTAATTGGAACGAGTTATACGAGTTAATTTCAAGGATTTCAGAAACAAAAAACCCATCGGGGAAATTTTGGCACCCGGCAGTTAGATGCGATATGATATGACTACTAGGCACTTAGGATATGACTACTAGGCACTTAAAAAAAAAAAACCCTAACCTAAACCCTAAACCTAACCTACACCCTAACCCTAACTCTAAAAAAAAAATTTTTTTAATTAAATTAAAGTGCCTAGTAGTCATATCATATCGCATCTTTCTGTCCTTTGCGAAATTTTGCGTCCTGATTAAGATAATGCTGCCACCTAGTGAGCAATTTCTTAAATGAACGTTTGGCCATATTTGACCATCCAATACACTTACTATTAACGTTATATTAATAACTTTAAAATAACAGTTGGTTGCAAGTCATTAATTGTTTTCAAAGGATTAAGATGTTTTAATGCACATTACTTAATTCCCCAAATGTGCTCAACTTTCCACACCACTGTTTCTCATTTACTTTTTCTGGGTAGTAAAATGGTTATTTAGTTATGTATATTCCATACTATATTTTTGGTTAAAAGAACCTTTCCTATGCTCACAAAGAACTTAACCTCTCACTACAACAAAGTTTCCATAGGAAACTAGCACACGTTACACACGTGTTCACATAATGTTGATGTTTTTACAAATGTGAGCATAGAGTGAGACAGTGGTGAACTTCAGATGCAAAATAATGTATTTTAAGCAATAATTTTACAATTTGTTTGGCACAGAATGAACATTACTACATACAGATACAACACTCATACCTGCTGTGCAAGCTCAGTGGCTTTGCCATATTGTGCAGTGCTCAGCTACATTGATGGTCTTCAGCATACAGACTGGGTGGGCCCACCATATATCTTTAAAAAGCTACTGGTAGTGTATCAACTTTGTGGTCGATGCTATCATTCCCATTTTCTTTGGCTATGCCTATACTCTTTCACCTATACGCCTTTGTTCGCACACCTCCATATTAGCTCAATGAGCATGTTTTGCGACCATCAAATTTCCTTTTCTCACACTCGGCTACCCCTATCCTCTCTCAGTGTGTCTTGCTTAACATATCTCTCCCTTATCTTGGTCAGCATATTTTTTGACCACCAACCTTCCTGTTCTCTGAAACGGCTATGCCTTCTCTCTATCTCTTTCTCTCTCTCTCTCTCTCTCTCTCTCTCTCTCTCTCTCTCTCAGTGCCTCTTCCGTCAGTGCCAGTCTCATCCATTGGTGCACTGAACAGGTAACCATAACCTTGCCTGTCTTCCTCCTTAGCTATGGCAAACCTTCTTAGTCCTCCTTGCTTACATTCAGTCTCTTCATCCATTCATTGATCAGGTTTTGATGCCAGCATCTTTCCCCTCCTCTCCCTCTGCCTCGGCTTTGCTGATCTCGTCCTTCAATACCTTCAGTGCCTCCTTGCTCACCTTCAGCTTGTCATTGAGCTCAGCAATCTCTTGTCGAATCTTGCTTTTTGCAGCGAGGATGGCTGACAGCGTCTTCTCCTCCTTATCAACAAAGTCTGTCTCATGCTTCCATGCACCAAGGGTCAGCTGCCGGGAACTGCTAAGCAACTGCTGCATCATCGACGTTGGCTCGTGAAAGATGAGCTCATCGTAAAACTCCGAAACCACATTCTTGTTGCCGAGCATAATGTTTGCCTGGCTCTGGAAAAGGCGTAGGAACTGGTAGAGCGTCACCGGCCGCTCTGTAGGATCAATGAAATAGATCTTGATGACAATCTCAAACTCGCCCCAGCCAGTCTCAGTCACCTGTAAATAAATTGTGCTTTAGTAATACATCTGTACAGCATAGCTTTAACATGTCTGCAACACCAGCAATATTCAAAACTTTTTTCACAAGCTCTCTTCTCAATTTTCTTTATCCTCATGGCTTCTCTTATGGAGATGTTTCTAAACCCTTCCTCCATGTGCAGTACATACAAAGAATCTCAGCATATTCTGATATCATGGCTTAATATAGTATCTGCATTAACACATGCATGGTGATATTGCTGTTTCTATACCTCATAAGGTGGCTTTGTTACAATACGGTTTTGGTTCGCATAGCTCTCGTGTAGCTTGAAGTGAATTTTCTTCACATAAGTCGACATGTCTTCATTCCTGTAAGGCTTTACGTAAACGTTCCACTGATGCGTGTGGCCGTCTTCCTCCCGCTTCTTGCCAAAGTATCGCGCGATACTACCGTACACAATCGGCTTTACGATGGTCAAACCCTTTACACGCCCGCCGCCCTCACTGCCGTAGTCAGACATCTTTACAGCAGTGAAGGGTGCTGATATAAAAATAGAAATAAAAAGTTAAAATACCTATCTGTTGTGTGTACCAACAATTTTAACTTACAATATACCTGATAAGTTACAACTTATTATGCATTCTTCATGGATGTAACCGACTTATATTACCTAGGGGGCAAAACCACTAGCAAAATAATCAAGTCTGCCTCACTACACTCATGCTACAGCATACACATTTATATATAACACCATGGTGTCTAACTCGCTGACGATGGTTGGAATGTCACATAAGCTGAGACAGGCACAGGCAACCGTTGGCGGCTGCGCTGGTTTGCCTGTCTGCACAATAAACTTTCTGCAACAAATCAGCGCTGCCGCCAACATTTGGAGCATTCAGCTTGTATTAACATCATTGTGAGCAGTCGTTTTGCATCAACATTTGAGGAATTTTAGTGATTTGAGCACATTTTGGCAGTTCGGCTGTCAAAAATAGCAGATTTACCTTGTTAAACAATCATCAGCAATTCCAACAATATGTATTTGCGCTGTGAAGATGTGAAACAAAGCAATCATTGTGCAAATTTGGCGCTACCGCTTTCCCACCTACTCTTCAGCGAGTTTGCGCAGTGGCATGAGTGCGGTGAAATTGTATAATGTATTGCAGAGGAGTGTCTGTCCTGCATTTACGAGAAACTGTTACAGATAATTGGCAGACGAGAACAGATTAACAATAACATTAAGTCTTTAGACTTTATTAGTAAATACATTTCATGTTTATTTAGGCCTACCATCATGCATCACTTTATTATGAAAGAAACGCTTCAACTTGTTCAAGTGCCCGTGTTAGGATGCCACTAGGGACAGCGCGTCTCCCAAGTCCGAAATAGTAGGTTTCAGGGGAGAGATAGTGATCAGCTAGATGGCGCATTATTAATTAACAATTTATAAAATCAGTTAACCCTAACACTAACCCAAATCCTAACCCTAATCCTATCCCTAATTCAAAATAATAATAATAAGGCCCTCTAGGGAGAGAATTCAGTACCATGGGAGACGCGCTGTCCCTAGTCGCAGCCCCCGTGCCAGACTGTGACTGTGACTGTGTGAGTAGGTTCAATTCGAAACACTCAAACAAAGAAACATGTGAACCGCTGTTATATTATTATATAAAAGTACAAACTAGGATACCTGTTACACGCAATGAACGCAGAAGCTAATTGAAACAGACGAAACATCACATTCGTTGTATTATTGAGCCCGCTCTTAACGCCATCTTTGGGTTCGTATGTAAAAGAAAAAACAAATGAACGCCCATGAAC